TTATACATATTTATTAGTTTTTGTTTGCTCGCGTTTGCAAGATCTTCGAAGTGTAGGTTCGAATAATTTCTTGTGAACCCAACAGTATAATAAATTGTGATCTGTGGTACGGTAGTTAAATAGTAATTTAACTATTGTAGTATGCAATTTTTGTATCACGAGAAAAAAAGGTATTAAATGATAATTACAAACATAAAACACTTTCACAGCCGTTGTCACGTGCACGTGATTTTGCGTTCCCAGTGCGAGTCAGCTGATGTCACAAAAGCGTGTGGTGACATTACTTCTCTTTTTTTAATAAAGTGCGAGAGCGTAAAATGTAAAACAATGATCTGTATTAAATAAAAGCGTACAATGATTATATTAATAACGGTGGATTGCCTGAAAATGAAGGAAATTATTAAAAGGCGAAGACAGTGAAGCTTCTTTCATTTCGAGTATACGTGTTTATACTCCAATTTATTGGGTCTTTTAATTCGCATATTGTTATTCTTGCTTGCGTTTGGACTCTTACATCAGTTACCCTAATGTTCCTCCTCAACATCGACGGACCGACAAATTAATTCTAACATCCACGAAACGCAACAATTGGAATTCAATAGTTCATTTCAAGGAAATCATCATCCATCTTGTCCTCGCGAATTCTAATCGATAATCATTGCTACCCTCTTTTTTCCTCTAAATCTTCGAAAGGCTTCGACTACGTAAACAGTTTCAATAATTTATAAAGTTGCGATTAAAATTGATAATAGAAGACTAGAAAGTTTACAAATTCGTCAAAAAGTAATTTCAACCACAATAATGGACTTTAGCAGATCCTGAACGGCTTCTGGACACCGTTCAACCGATCTCGACAAGCTCCCTTCATCTCGATTCCGTACTCATTGACGAAGCCGCATCTAATTAAAATTACATTTTCGTAGAGTATAATCGTTTGTTCTCGCGTTACAAACGCCACTGGGCGATGTTGCTCTTCTTGATGTTCGCCTGTATCGAGACGTCGATGAGGTTGTTCCCGAGGAAGAAATCGGTAGCTACCACGTTGGTTTCTTTCCACCATTCCTCCTGGAACTTAAACGTCAGATTTCTGTTCACGGAATCGGCCATTTGCCGCAGTCCTCCAGACAGATTGAAGATTATTTCCAGGGGATCGGGCGTCAACTCCGCCATCACCGCCCATAATGGGTTTTGACTGTTTCGGAACCTCTTCGGCCCCATAATAACTTCGTCCAAATACTTGAACAGACCCTCCACCGTCTGTTGATTACCCCAGGCTTGAGACATTGTCGGCCACAACCAATCGTACTCTGTTACAAAACGAAATCAACTGACGATACATTCAGATTACAAGAGAAGAGAAATTACAGAAATAATATGTACAAAAACAACAACGAATGGAAAAGAAATTAGAGAACGGAATATTCTAAATATCGTAGAGCGATCTTATTTTTTATTCATCCCTGTCTGTATATTTACCAGTAACAAACTACCATGAAACATACGTTTCTCGGTACAACTGCTATTATTCGATCGCGCCAGGAACTTTCGTATTTACGCCATAATCAGGTATGCAAAAAGTGTTGAAACTTTTTAAGAAGTTCTCTTTATAACAGTAGTTATGGAACTTTTTTCAAAGCAGTTGTTGCTCTTAAGTCTCAATGAGAATACACAAAAAATGTTCTTGAAAATAAAAATTTTGAGTTAAAGTAGAATTGATAAGATGTAAGAACAAGAATTCCGCTATAATAGGAACAGGTGTTTTCTTGGAAAATGATCAATATCTTCGTTACCGTCTCTTCCTATTTTACTCCTCGATTCAAACATTTCATGAATGAATTTGAACGAATTTATTAGGTTATTGGGAAGAAACAGAAAACTTATTCACAGGGTCTCTGCAAACAAGTAAGCGTTGAACATGCATTTGCAACACTGAAATATACAGGGTGCCCCAGGTTTTAATGTTCAAACTTCGTCAGTGTATTTTATAGCACAAAGTAAGAAAAAAATGTTATGTACACATAGGTCATATAGAGCTATATTAATAAATTATAACAAAAATTCAGAATAGGAATAGTAATCAACTTGCTGTTACTATGAGCATTGGCTTGAATAGATCAGTGTTTATTAATACATTTCGAAACGTCTACCGTTGTTGACAATACATGATTGACATCGATCGAAGATCGAATTTATGACCGTGCGAATTTCGTTTCTATTCTCTTTCATTTCATTGAACGCATTATTAATCCTATTCTGAATTTTTGTTATAACTTCTTAATAAAGCTCTATATGACCTATGTTTACATAACATTTTTTTCTTACTTTGTGCCATAGAATATACTGACAAAGTTTGAACATTAAAACCTGGGACACCCTGTATACTAAACGGTAATACGTATAATCTAAATACGACAAATTTAGAAAATATTTTACTCGTGAAATTATATTAAATGACTATACTACTGTATAGAGTATTTCACTCCCATGTATCCTTGCACACCTCAATGTCTTCGTTGCTTTTGCTGATACAACAAAATGTACCAGGATAAATTCATTTAGATCAAAGTTAAGAATGTTTATAATTTATGTTATTTTCCGCTCAAGATTAGTTTTCATACTTTCTCGCTTTGGCGAAAATAATTAAGACATTATAATAAAGATGTGGAAAACCTTGTTTGTGTAAGATATTATATATATTATATAATGGAATATTCACATATTTATGTTCAAATTGTAAAAAAGAATGTAAATAAATTCTATCAATTACGTAATGTACTTGTATGTACAATTATGATTTCCCTGTTTTTGTTTCATTAGTAGTTCTTTTTATATCGTGAACCTTTTTCTAATAAGCGTTCTAAAATAACTTGTCGTCGTGGAACCTTTATGATATAAATTCTAGAATATCCGTTCCATAAGAACACTTTTATAACGATTCTTCACGATAATGTAGTTAAAAGTTCTACAGGAATAGATTGTATTCCCTTAAGTAAAAGTTACAAGTGCGAACAGTTTTCTCTTTTTCAGAAACGAGAAGTACGTACTCGTATATATTTCGATCGCTGGCTATAACGTAATAAATATTTGCAGTTCGCGAGACCGCCTATAGTACTTGCGTAAGTTTCAATGTCTGTGCTACTTAAGGGTAACCCGCTAACCGAGAAATGTATCGACTATTATTGTCTGGACACTCTCGTGCGAATACGATTGGTAGCGAATGCAGATTGCTCTGTAATACCGGCGCGTGAAACGTAACTTTTATAAATACAAGGATAAAAACGATGAATCACTATCAATGAAGAATTAACTTCTTCTCCCCAGTGGTCAGATTAGGCTCGTGTAAAAATAGTTATGGAAGCACGTAACACGAGAAGCACCTAGCGGCGGATTGAATTGACGCGTAAGGATTCAATTGAATAGTAGCAGGTAATAAATTTACCATTCACGGTGTGCTTATCGCCGTAACAAATAATCAAGCGTTTCCCTCCGGTCCAAATATCGTTCAAGGTCGGACCAAGACCTTCGACCCCCCTATCAGGCTTGAGAATCAGACCTCCGAATTCTCGCCGGAGGATCGTGGCCAATCGACGGTGTCTGTTCGATCTGTCCTGGAATCCCACCGGAAATCTGCATGCAAAGTCACCCCATATTGAATCGCATCATTACATTATATCAGGTCCCTGCGATAACAATCGTATCGTTACATTTGTATCAATTTAAAGCCACTTTCTTCCATTTCGCTCGAACAACTACGTATCTTAATGCATCCATTGACCAGCTAGAATTTTCGTCCTATCTTATTATCTCGTCATGACATAATATCGACGATTTTATTGTTATACAATGCTTCGTACGCATTGTTATTGATTCGAAAATTGACTGAGAGATAATGCTACGATATAATCGTCGTTGCATGATTCTCTCTACGCAACTGTCCCTCTGATTACGATGATTTGAACAAATAATGTATAACTACCGATTATATTCAATGACAAAGTTATCGTTTGTTTCGAACGCAGAAAATTGGAAAGAACATGTAATTATTGTATAATTAAAATTATAAAAGTTAAGTTATATTTCGGTACAGAAAAATATCCTCGTGGGTCATTAAATGCGGCTGTTCATACGTAGCGTCGCGCTTTAATTCAGACGCAGAAAGTTTTCGACAAATGAGCCGTTTATTTTGAAAGTGACATAAGTCACTTTGTTTTTAAGTCGGTCACTTTGTTTTTAAGTCGATATATTTAAGGGCTTGCGTTTTAACAAGTTTCAAAATATGGATGCTAACTTTCGAGAAGATTTACTTGTATTTGTTATATCTCAGGATACTGATATTTTCCTCGGTATAAATAATTTCGTATAACATCAAAAAATCGTCACTTTTCATTACGGTAAAGTGACTTATGCCACTTTCAAAATAAACGGCTGAAATGTTTCAGGATGTCGTTCGACATTCTCGATAAGAACGTTTCGTCCGAAGCGATAGGTTGTTCCAAGAAAATTTTGTTAAAAAAATGGACGCACGGAAAGCTTATTAAATTAGTTTAGAAAGAACTAATTAATTGTTGATAAACTACTCGAATAAAATCCAACGTCTCTTTTCTTCAAAATTTTATGGACAACGTTATCTTTTTCTATTTGCTTCTTTTTTCTTTCAATGATAGCGCCATGCAGCACGAAATCCGAGATAAATGTGAAAACATTCTGAAACGGTGACCATTTATGTTCGTCATAGTACAAATATTATATCGTTTTTGCATCTAAACGGATAGTATAAATTGACCTTAATACTCAACATTCGAAACAAACTAAATGTATGAGGTTGTTCGTAAAGTAATTTCTCGTAAACTTGAAATCAAATCATTTTGAAGGCTGACATTATTTTTTGAACAATCTAATACGTATAGTCGTCACGCGACAAGAAGGCACCTTTGTGTTCACATTCCCCCTCTTAATAGCTGCCGCAACAATCGGTCGCTATTGGCCGAAAACGGTGAGTAAGAGGGGGGAATGTAAACACAAAGGTGTCTTCTTGTCGCGTGAGGACTGTATTCTAATGCATTTGCATTATGCATATATTAATTCTTATTACTTGCTGCAATATTCAACTTACGAAGCATTTACCGACATATTATTTTAGTGGATATAGTTTTGTTAAATTACCTATGGAAGTCCATGATAACGACCTCTCCCCTTGCGACGTTCAAAAAGTTCCTCACATCTCTGATGATGGCGGACAAAGGCGTAATCCGAATCACATCGTGATTGATCCAAAATCTGCTTATGTGATTGCCTTCCTCGATGGCGGTACCGTTCGGAATCGCCGGATAATAGCCCACCCTGATGTCCAGGTACCTTATGCCGTGCACTAATTGCGTCCACACGTCGCGATCCTGCGTTAACAAGTATCGTTGAAAGGCGTCCCTTCGTGTAAGGTCGCCATGCTTGTAACATCCCGAATTGTGTGTTCCGGGAATCATTAAGCTTCCTATTGGCAGTCTTCCTAGTTGCCTCCTAAGGGAGACAAAAACATATTTCAAATGAAAACACATTCATAGCGAAATAAGAGCTGACCAAGACACGGAAGTAGACTTTGCATTGATGACATAATTTAGAAAACTATTTTATAATTGTGGTACGACTGCCAAGGAAACTTCGTATAATTTAGTAGATTTCATACAGTATCTACTACAACCTCTGGCAAAAAGTTTCCGATCATATACAGGGTGTCCCAGGTTTTAATGTTCAAACTTTGTTAGCGTATTCTATGGCACAAAGTAAGAAAAAAATGTTATGTAAAGATAGGTCATATAGAGCTTTATTAAGAAAGTTATAACAAAAATTCAGAATAGAGGAATAGTAATCAACTTGCTGTTACTGTGAGCATTGGCTTGAATAGATCAGCATATGCCGTGTGTTCATGTAAGCTGTGTTTATTAATACATTTCGAAATGTATTAATAACCGTTGTTGACAATACATGATTGACATCGACCGAAGATTTTTTTTTATTTTTTATTTTTTTTTAGTTGATTACTATTCCTATTCTGAATTTATGTTATAACTTCTTAGTAAAGCTCTATATGACCTATGTTTACATAACATTTTTTTCTTACTTTGTGCCATAGAATATACCGACAAAGTTTGAACATTAAGACCTGGGTCACCCTGTATACTAATATCAAATTTACAAATAATATTCGCATTTTGGAATTATAAAATGTTCTCATATGCAGGTAAGATGAATGGGGAACGTAGGTGGTATCTAAATAAGTAAATAAATAATAAATTGTCAAAAAGAAACCACAGAGGAAACAAAATGTGGAAAAAAGTGTCCGATCAGTACAAATGTTGGAAAAAAAGTTTCCGATCATTGAGTTATTAATATTTTCTTACATTACCACGTGCTCGTGTGACACTTTTAATGCGTTGAAGCATTGTCCTTGCTAAGATTTCACGATCCCTAAGCGAAATTTCTTTCCAAGACAATTTTATCGCATGTCGTTATGTGTTTTCCACATAACATTTTGTTTTTTCCGCGGTTTCTTCTTGATGATACATGAAAAACTGTGTTATTTTGTATTTATCTATTTTATTTCAATCTCGTCTACATTCTCCATTCGTGTGTTGTCTGCATAAAACAACATTTTATAACTCTAAAACGCGGATATTCTCTGTAAATTTTGTATAAGTTTATATGATTGGGAACTTTTTGCCGAGGGTTCAGCAGACTAGTATTAGGTCAGATAGTTCCATTTGTTACTTGTGTCTGTCTATTACTAATTGATTCTACTGGCAGTATTATCGTAGTATAACGATCTTTCTGTTTGTCGTTTGATGTTATCTATTTTCTAGAATAAACTTACGTAAATAAGTAAGGGAAGAATACTTTCGAATCTTTAGATCGGTCAAGTACAGATTTGTTTGCAAAGCAAGTAGAACATTTTACATGCAAAAGGAGTTTCCATGTTTTTCGCATAAGCAACCTTTTCTTTCTCAGTCAACGTTGTTTCGAAATCAAGAACATATTTGCCACAGTACAATGCAAAACACTGATCTTTTATACATGAGCGACAGTAAGGCTCGGTGTGCAAAGAAGTTCTGTTGTGCTATATAGGCTTGTGTATATAAAGTTGTTCTCACCATACAGTGCCAGCATATTTATGACAAGAAACGAGTCGGCAATATTTAAATTATTAGAACAATTGAGATAATCGAGGAAGATCAACGAATTATTTTGAATTTGTTAGTGGAGTATTCGAAGGTGATTCTTGGAATGAAACATATTTTTCGCCTACAATTAAAGATTACACATAATTCATTGAATGTAAAAATATTTGTTTCTCGAAAACAAGACAAAAGATCGTCAATCGAACTTTCCTGTGTTTGATATATTTTTAATTTTGAATATTTCCGCACGATCCTGGTTCCGACCATACTCACGTTCATACTGTGTGCAATAATATTTGATTCCTTCAACTCAGATCAGCAGAGCGGCCGGAATCGTGGCAATCGTGGAACCACTTTCAACATATAAGAGGCTGTACTACAGCAGCTCATAAAATATTCAATATTTTTGCATTGAACTAATATTGTGTATACTCTGTAAATATATACGAAAAATAAGCGAAACAATCTAACAAAAATATGTGTTCCAGTTTCTATAAAGAAATCTGAAAGGAGAATGTTAAAAATAGCCGTCTAGGCTCTAGAATATCCCTTTAAACTTGCTGAAGAAAGACTTCTGATTTACAAGAAATCGATGGAGAAAAGTTACGAGCGGAAAAAGTGGAAAGCTCGAAGGAGCGGCGTTACCTTAAATCGTACATCCATGTCGGCCAGATCTGCAAGCAGGAACTGGTGAGGAAAGACCCTTCTTTATAAAGGGCAGCATGGTATTTCAAGCAATGGGGGCCGGGAAGCGTCGCGCCATCTTTGGTGTCCCATCCACCCGGAAGGGGCGGTCGACCGACCGTGATGTTGGTTCGATAATAGCCTTGGGGGTATTGCAGCGAAGTCAAAGTCAACTTCGGCTTGATCGTTTTATCTGAAAGCACAACGTCGATGGTTTGCGTCGACCCGTATCGACCAATCCTGGCACGATCGAGCCCTAAAGTTCGTTCCTCGGCAGGTCCCGAGACGTAAATTCGAGAAAAACGCTAGCCAAGGTAGAAACGGGGACAAATTGATGGCTTACGCTCACGCGGATATTCCGTTGCACATCTTTTTTTTTAGACGAACCGATAAATCTCGAAGTGTTTCGCGTAAATTGAGCGAAATTCAAGATTTCCAGGCAGGACTGTTCTTTCCGCGACTAAAAAATTTGACGCCTTCGAGTCGATTCGATAAAGTCCGTGCGATAAAAACTGATTCAAGACGTTCAAGAGAAGCAAACAAAACTTATTACTATGTGCTGGGTCAGCAGTGAACACCTTGATGGTATCTGGGTATCCTGTGCTCGATGGACAATCAAGATCCCAATTTACTTCCAGCTCCGCGTCCACCACTGTGTCGCTGGCAGCGATCGGTCTCCACAAGGAGGAGACTGTCAGCCATACTTTTCCGCATTGCGCTGCCAATGCTGGAATCAGAAGTGTCCCATTCGTCGACGAACTTCGCATAGACAATGAAATGATTTCGCAAAGCATCGCGGAGCATCGTTCAGTTGTCCGAAACGGTCGGTTTACCCGAAGCGAATCGTTCCAGTTTAACCCTTTCACCACTCACAACATCTGTCTTTCGCCCAGTTTTTAAAACATACCAAGATGGATCAATCGAGTACGGTAGAACCTCGATTATCCGGTCCTTAAATAACAGAATTCTCTGCTATCCAAATACGTTTCACATGCGATCAGCTCGATCTATGGCAATCTGTATGTGAAACGATTTATTATACAAATCAATAAAAATTCAATCTGGCGTTGTAACCAAGTGCTTTATTATCTGAACATTCCTATCGCTCTATTCGGTCCGTTTAATCGAGGTTTCAGGAAATCTCGTTGCAGAAACAATTGATCTCCTGCTCTTGCATGGTGAAACGGTTGAACGATTCCGTAAAAACTAGAAAACCGCGGCTGCACCAAGTATGCCAAAGAAAAACACGCTCACCAATGTCACAGGATAGGTAAAGGAACAGCAACGTCGTTGCCCTCAACATCCTCGGAGAATGTTACTTTATGGGTCTTCTTTGGACAGGTCTCCGATATCCGACGTCGCAAATCGGCGCGCACCTGCGTTCGTAAATAAGAGTTTTCCGCATTATAAAATAAGCATAGCACTTCGAGGTGGTTCTACGACGCTGTTAAAAATGTTGTTCGCGAGACAAGGTAAAGCGTGCGTGTGTTTGTCGATTGCTCGAGGTCAATTTTCTTGAGAACCGTTCTCCGACGTTTTCCTCTTACATTTTCATGTAAAGCGACTGCGTTCGCAGACGAATCGCAGTGTACAAAACAAGCTACTTGACCGTTGATCTCTGCGCACTACTCGCGCCGCGTCCGTAAAACGTCAAGTCACGAGGCGCCTTCTCATTATCCAGTTCTAACTTCGACAAAGCATCGCGCAGCAATGAAAAGAGTTGCGTACGAACCGTAATCCGGCAATAACAGTTCCCTATCGATTCTGGATTCGAGCGAACGAAATGCGTCTCACTGGGAACGAGAGGAGCTGCAGGAGGCGCGCAGCGTTAAAGAAAGATGCGCAGCTACAAACCGTGATAACGTCACTTCATTCGCCTTTGTGTCCAAAGGATTCTCTGGAGCCGACGGCCTCGCGGCGGGTTCACTCGCGCGTGCACGCGGCGAGTCGCTTCCTCTCCAGCTAGCCGATCGCCAGGAGTCCTTCGAGTCCTGGATCCCGTTCGTGGACAGCCGATCGAGCATTCAGTCCCGCTTGGTTGCCGGTTCACGGAAGCGTCAGCGCTTCTCCTGTTCTAAGTCTCACTTGCTCGATCGCGATTGCTTTCAAGACGACGATCGGCGCCCGTACGGTCGTGAGGACATGGCCCGTGTCCGCGGCACGAATCAGGCTAGTGAATCGGTACGGATCGCGTTTGCGACGACGACGGATGCTACGCGCGGCGAACGAAGAACGGGATGGGGGATCGATCGCGTTGTCCTGGCGAAGCCGATCCAGCCAGCGACTGAACGATGGACAGCCGAACGACCCGTAACCGGACCAGTTTAATATAGAACCCGCTTCGCTTATGGGACATTCAAGCACATTGTGCCATCATCCTTCCATCACTTCCTCGGACACGTCAATTGCTCGATGGGGACCACACCAGAGGCTGTCCTACTCCCGTCGCCGATCAAACTGCACGCGTTTTTCTCTGTCCGGCGTTCGGTCATCCTATAGACTGCGTCCACCACCGGGGGTCAGACCCGGCCTGACCCGTCAGGCATTAAACACTATTTCCTGCGTATGCCGTTCGACCATATAGTTTCGAGACAACGACGACGTCGGCCAGAGAGTTACCCGGGAAAGAGATAGAGGGAGAGGGAGGAAGGGCCGAGTGATCAGTGTGTACGCGCACCACGGATCACCGGGGGTTGGGGGACCAGACTCTGATTCTACATTGAATTATCACCCTCGCTCGTGGGTCAACGGGGGACGGGGAGCGCGCTCGTGAGAGTTAACAGGATGATGATTACGTACAGGTGCAGCCAACGAGGCGACTCGATTTATCGTTACTCCAAGCCCGATGCTGTTTACCCAGCGACTTCGACGATCATGATCGATGGCCGCCGGTTCCGAGAAACTGTGTTCTTTCGCTGTTGCTGACCTCGCTGCATAATTGCAGTGGAATCCTCGTTTATGTAAACAGTACGGGGAACAAGAACTGCTTGCATCCCCGCCGCCTTTTTCTTTCAGTTCAGATATTACAGAGGTTCTTATGTTCAGTTAATCGAAGCTCATTGCTATTCCAACAATTCACCGCGTTCGGGTAATGGAGACGTTTTCAACCTTTAGACCGCCGGCACATGATGCCACGTGGAGTCGCTAATATTATAATATATTTTGGAGAATAGTTCTCTTTTCGCTGACTCGAAACTTGTGAGAACAAATATTTCGGAAATCTGATACACGCGTTGTTGGATCGTGTGGGTGTAGTTTCCAGATTTACCAGTGGGTGGCCACATTGTAAATAGTCTCTTCTAGCGAGTGATCGAAATAAATTATCCGTGAACGACGGAATGATTTGACTTTTTGTTTTTTCCGTTTTACAAATATGTAATTTCACAAGGAAATGATCATTATCTTTACAGAATGGATGCAGGCGATAATAATGGATCTGATGTTACAAGTAGCGACACAAAAAGTTGTTCTTTTTTATTTAAAAGATTTAGCGTTGATTACGCCTCGTGCATTATACAAAATAAGTAATGAAACTATAGATTTCCCTGTTTCACGACTTCTATGTCTGCTTTTCTGAATCTTGAGACTGAAACACCTGTTTCTATTCGGTCAGGACTTCGCATCTTATACAACGATATACAGTGACTCCCATTAATTAATTCTGACACTCTTTAAAACGCAATAACTTTTTTAAAACTGGAACAAACGATTTTAATCTTTTTCAGATGATAGAGGGATTAGTGTGTTAGGCAATGACTAAACTATTTTCTTGCAATTTTGCTATTACCTGGAATGACAAAACAAAATAAAAAGCTCTCGTTTTTAGTAGAAAATGAGAGATTTTATAGATCTCAGTAAGTTATATGCAAAATTTCATCGAAATTGGTTAACGCAACGTCAAGTTACAAGCCTTAAAAGATTGTAGAAATTGCAAATTTCTCACGCTCATTGGTCGAAAATGTGAAAATTTAGGACAAAACTATGATTTTTGCGATCTTGAATTGTTCACAGCTCATACCAAAGTCACCGGATTTCGGTGAAATTTTTAACATGCATATAACATACCGAGACCTACAAAATACATTTTTCAAATTTTCGTTATAGGTTCAGATGAAAAAGTAAAACAAAACGAGAGCTTTTTATTTTCTTTTGCCATTTTAAGCAATAGCAAAATTTTTAAAAAAGCATTCTAGTTATAATCTAGTAGACTGTTCGCTCTATCATCTAAAAAAAATTCAAGTCGTTTGGTCTAGTTCTAAAAAAGTTACTGCGTTCTGAAAAGTATCCGAATATTAATGGGAGTCACTGTATGTATATCAGTACATTCAACTTCAAGAAAACGATGTATTCTGTGCACATCATCAAAAAAATTGCAATCTCGCTATTTACTTATTACATATACTTATTTGTAATATATCTAACGTAGTGTTATGCTAAAAACATTGTTTCGAAAATTATCACATCAAAATTGTATTGTTATAAATGCAATACAAACGAGTATGAATGAAAAAACTCAAATGAAAGACAGAGAATACAGAAAAAAAGGACAACATAAAAAAAAGATCACAAAAATATTTTCTACATCCATCCTTCCACCTCGTTAATCCAGAATAACCGCGATATAAAGCTAGCTAAAAAGTGCAATATAATCTGATGTGCTAATCTGAACTACAGCTACCGAGCCTGCTGTATTGGAAGATTTTTTCAATTCGAATTCAATCAAGAACGTAATCAGGAATACAAAAAATCTCTGGAAAGTAAAATTTTTCAAAATTTAAAAGCTTTATCATTTTCGCCTCTGTTCCGTGCCGGCCTGGCTTCGATCGGAGTCAGGCAAAATCTCTCGACTACTCCGCGCAATACAATAAACCGATTTACGTGCAAATACCCCGAGAGAAAATATTACATTTTCAGTGGAAAAATACCGACAGCATAAAGCTTGAACAGTGGTCGGTATGTTCGTATCTTGTATTCGGTACAAGTTGCATATTCACGCTAGCGGAATCCGGTTAAAAGTTTTACCGTAACTATTCACTTTTCACTATTTACAATGCCTTAATACATTCAAGAAATTTGCAAGCTTAAAACTTTCGAATGGAGGTTAATTATTGTCATTGATATTATATATAGCTAAATATTATATATATATATATATATATCAATGATAATAA